TATGACATTGTATTATAATATTACACCACCCAAATATGTATTTACTTCCTTCTAATTCTCGTTGTCAGTGCAGGCTTGTTTAGCTTATATTGAACGTTATGAAAAGTGATTAGTGGCCTGCATAAAAAAAGCCTTGAACATAAAACAACAGGACAAAAATATAGCTGATGACTACACAAAGAAGTGTCTAGAGTTATGAAATTGTCAAGACAGTGGCATAATACAGTGAAATAATATGTTCTTTAGCCATATAAAAACAGTTGTAATGTGCGTGGGTAAAATTTACAGCGACCCCTGGCGGTTCTAGTGTTAATAATACATGATTCTAAAAAAAGCTATTATTTGCTACTTTATAATTATAATAATAATAATAATAATATTTATTATTGAATAAATAGCATAATTTTACTTTAGCTATTTATTGTTTATTAAAATCTGAAGAGTTTTTCGTTGCGTTTTTCCATGTACAGATGACAACGTTGTCAAATTGTCCATTAACACGGATCCGCGAAAACTAATAAAAATGCTGTATCATGTATGCCAGGCCAATATTTGGCGATGTCACTTTGTAAAGAAACACTACGCGCTAACAGACTGAACACGTACAGTAATACGCAAGTGCATGACGTTACTATAAAAACACAAATTTGTGAAAACAGTTTACATGGAGATGATAATGGTATTATCAAAAACTTGAACTTTGAAACATTTCTAAATGTCTGCATTTTCAAACAGCCAAACTGCGGTTGTGTATAATAATAATAATGCTATGTATTATTGAATAAATAAATAGCATCATTTTACTTTAGCTATTTATTTTTTATTCAATGAAACAATATTTTTGGCTATTTATTTGTTTGTTTAATAATGATATACAATGATAAAAAAAGTAGCAGATTCATTCATTTCCTATTTAACGACATTATCAATAATATATTATTATTAGAATTATTATTATATGTAAATAATAAATCATTGTTGATCATTAATGTAGTTATTTGTAAACAAATCAATAATGTTTACTATTTATTAGCGCTGCCCCCTAATAGTCGACTAATCGTTAGTCGACCAGAAGAGGCTTGGTCGACCAAAATTTTATTAGTCGCAGGAAAAAAATAAAAATAATAATCCACAGGCGAAGTCACGCAGTCCGTAACTAACAGATCGTTAACGGCTAGTCTATGGTAATACAGTACATCAGGCAGGACATCCAAACGCTCGCCTATCATTCATCAACCTCAAATATGGCTTATCATCTGAAATATGCAAGTATTAGCAACTTTACATGGCCACTCAATCTAATGTTAACCTAGAGAAATGTGCGCTATATGTCTGTGTGGAGAGTGGAAGCTATCGCTCACTGCAGTACAGATGGAGGCACCGGTGCGCTCACTTACTCCTAAAATACTGGTAATTTTTGGTCATACAGATGAGTAATACATCTTTCGAATCTGTAAAGACTCTACGTTTATTTGTGTGCACTCACAATAAAAAACAAATCATGCTTTTGTGAAATAATGAAAGCAAACAGGATGCGCTTTCTGCCGTTGCGGTCTGTGAACTTGAGCGCGAAACACCGTGTATATCTTTACCTTACAGACATAAAAAAATATATATATCTATAGAGAGTGAAATTTCTACTTTCAAATGAACCAATTCAAATGGAAAACAAATATTCTCAGATTATGTAATCCGTATGAAACCTGCATACAGGTGCATCACTACTGTAGAGATGACGAGTCAGTGTCGCGGAGTTCATCTCTTAAACCGAGAACAAAGAAAACACTAGTTTATCAAAATATTTAAATGTTAATGCAGTCTCCTTACTGTTTTTCACTGACACATTCATAATCATTACTTCTGCCGGTGCGCTGTGGCAAGCTTTATGCGTGTGCTTGAGCGCCTATGTAGACAATTAAAGGCTCATAATAATGATTTAAATGGTTTATTAATAAACGTGTGATTAGTCGACTAACGCTTAAAATTAATGACTACTAGTCGACCAGAAAAATCCTTAGTCGAGGACAGCCCTACAATTTATTTAATAATAATACTTGATAATTATTTGCTATTTAATAATAATAATAATAATAATACATGTCTTAAAATAGGCTTCAGTTGTCTTTATAAAAATAATTTTAATAATAATAATAATAAATTATATATATATATATATATTTATTTTATTTATTTTTTTTTTTTCACAAATTCTGTGTTGTGTATTTTCTGGCGGTTTTTTTCATTAGGCAGACAGACACAAATTTTATTTGTGTGTGTGTGTGTGTGTGTGTGAGTGTGTGTGTCTCT